CAAACAATTCTATACATACAAAATTATTAAAGAAGAATTAATTTGAAAAAAAATTAAGCAAAGTAATTAATGAATAAACAGAAATGTGACACCGAGCAAAAAAGAAGAAACGTAATATTAAAAACATAAAAAATTAGGGCACATTCAAATCAGACTCTTGTAGAAGCCCTGCAATGGCGCGACATTGGCGTGGCTGCCTGGCGCGCCTGTAGCGCTTCAGTAATTTTTAGTTCACAAACTGTGACTGCAAAAGTGGCGCCCACACTGTCACGACAGTGGCGCAGCACCAGCGCTTCTAAATATTGTATGAAAATTAGTAGTGGCGCCACTGCAGCACCAGCGCTTCTATATACGTCTAATTTAATAATTCCGCACAAGCTATCAACCGCGTTCTTCCACTAGACTTGTCCACAGCCTACAACTGCGCTTGATTTGCAATCCACGACATTATTACCAATTTTGCATTCCTTGAAAATTCTTTTTGTATACGTAGAAAACATTTCTACATTTTTTTTTATAAAAAAATAAGAAGCATAATATAGATTTCTCGAGTATTTACATGTCTTGTAACTTTCATTATGCGTATTATCTCAATTCTGTAATGGATATTTCTGAAGTTCCTAAGGTCATGTCGCTACCACATCCTGTTCAAGGCTGTGGTTGCTTTATTAAAAAGAACACAGGCAGCTTACTTTCATAATGAAATCCGTAACACAATAATAATTAGTAAAACAACAGTTTTTAGGCATAGCGTTATAGTAATTATCTTTATGCTGTAAAATAACAAATTAATTGAAAGATGATGTCTAAGGTGACCATATAACTTGTTTCTTTGTAACAATGACTGCTTTTAACCAATGAATTTAATCATGCTGTGATTGATTCTCAATCTTGATAAACCTAATCTTGTAATAAAGTTAACGTTTTTCAGTTCAGTTTAAGTTTTTTTCAACTTGTTTTAATTAATTTGCTGTTTAAATGTCTGGACTCTTATCATAGTAACCAAAGTTTATATACTAACCATAACAAATTTTATTTACGAGAATTCACAGGAGTCAGGGGAATGGCTTCTCCTATGCTTATATATTGCTCGTGTCAGGAATCTTAATAAAAAGGTTTAATTCGAAGATAGGGAGCTAATGAAAAAGTTGGAAATATCCACATCAGAATTCTCATACGAAAAGCATAGAGCAACAGAAATAATATTTCTGTGTTACTGCACTGAGTTAATTAAAAATAATTTAATTATTAATTTATTACATTGTACAACAAGACAAGTATGGTAATCTAATTTATACGCAGCAGCGCGGTTTACATGTGTGCACGACCCCCGCGCGCCGTTTACCGATGCCCACATTCGCATAATAATGAAAAGCGCGTGAGATGACCAACGCGAGTGCATGACAAAATTATGCCAATGTGTGCGTCCGTACTCGGCGCGCGGCGGGGGCACACACATACAAACCGCGGTGCTACGTGTGTATGAAGTAACCATACTTGTCTGAATTATGTTATGTTTATTACAGAAGATATTCTTTTAAATAAATCTATTATTAATTTCTTTACAATAGTACAACGCTAAGAGAAAAATAATTCAACTAAGTGATGTCTTATTTTATTAGTATATTAGATTCTACTCATGAACACAAAATGCCAGGACTTGGGCATCAGCTTCTTCTAAAGCCAATTTTTTTTTAGAGAAGGCCAAAAGAGGTAAACTTATTTTATAATCATTCCATGACAACTTGCGTTTGAAGATCGAGTATATAATTTATTCATTTTATTATTAATGCATTTAAACATCGAGTTGAATTGATAATAATTCAATTGACGTAAAACTGAAACAGAAGTTGAGGATTATTACTCATTGAGGGTCATTACTTTTTCTTCCACCGTTTTGTCGGCCATTTTTGTTTACCTTTACGGGGTTTCGCAAAAAAAACTTACTATTAAACGCATCGTATTTACACTAATAAAATAAGACTGTGTATTGGAGCGAATTCAAAACATCCCTTCCCAAAGTCTATATTCCAATGTTTGGCACTACACGACGTTCGTTGGCCTTTCAATATCACATAATATAACAAACGAAAACAGTGCATTATTATGTTAAAAAGTAACGCATCTACATCTACTAGTATCACCTATATCATAGTGTTTATATCAATATATATAAAAGTGAATAAGAGGCACTCTATAGGTTTATATACGCACAGGTTTGGTAAAGCGTAATTCGTGAAACATCGAATGTGATCAAGAACATAGAAAATACTGACGCTATTATACAACTATCAGCGAATTAAATACACCGTCCATACAAATACGACTTTATTTTGTATACGCGTCGACTAAAGCCTCGTCCGCAATATAGTGTGACTGTGTTCGAGGGGATACTTGCCCCAAGAGAGTAGTCGCTCCGCTATACCCCGCCGCGAGACCTCTTATCTACCAAAACAGAACGGGGAATATTTGTGTATTAGCAACCAACAGTAATTCGGTATTTTGAGTAAGTGTCGTGGAAATATAATTATGACGAAATACTGTAGATTGCTGAAACACAACCCTTCTCCGTTCCGTTTTTATAGATAATGAGCCTCGACTCGTGTGATAGGTCAAACAGAGAACAGTTGCACTTTCCGCCGCACCGCTACTAAAAGAAAAGGAGTAGCTTATACAGTCAAACTAAATAGCACATTTGTATCGGCAGAATGTCTAAAATTGAGCGAACCATATTTATTTAAATTATAAACAAGTATCGCAACTTCTGCCCCAATACGGACGAGGCTTATAAAATAAAAAACAACATAAGCCCCGAATATATTAAGTATAATATCTACGTAAATTACAATTAGCGATTACTAATATCTCATAAGGTATCGTCTTTCACAACAGATTAATATTTTTTGATAAATATTACCACATAGGCACCCCTTGTCCCCCCCTAAAACAATTTTTAAAAGAAAACTAAACAACGAGTTCCTACGTCTTTATATCTAACACTCATACAATATATACACCGATGTTTAATTCAATTTTTATCAATGCAACTGTTGCAAGAGACTGTCATAAAAGACAATGCCAGGACCTGCCACAAACACGACTTAATCTAGTTTTCTGGTCTCTGATAAAATTACAATGAATTTCTCGAAACTTTCGAAAGCGAATTATATATTTTTGCAGTATTCAACAGAATTCACGGACATTCAGTACCTTTACCGGAAGTAAGAAATCTAAAGGTGCACTTTATAAGGTGATAATGTTAGCAATTAGGAAAAATTTGTTTTGGCACCTTCAAATTAAGCGCGCCAGTGGCGCTGCAGCCGCCCCACTAATAATTTTCATACAATATTTAGAAGCGCAGCTGCAGCGCCACAATCGTCTAATTTGAAGACTTCTTATAGTAATAAAATATCGCTTTTCGAATTTAAATTAATATGAAAACAAAAGAACAAGACCAGAGATTAAAAAAAAGAAATTCAAAATTGAACATCTAAGAAATGTCTCGTCGCTCCAAATTTTAATTTTCCATCGATACCATAGCAATTCTAGCATTGTCATTTACCATGTTGTACTAGTAATTTTATATCTTAAATCTCGAACGAATTGTAAAGATTCATCTACTCATATTATACCAATATTCGAAAGCTGAACTGCGACACTACGATCTCTAAACTAGATGTATCGATCCTAACATTAAGGTTAAATTTTGTATGTTTCTAACACATTCAGTAGAGTATACTATGTACTGTATTCTTGTTCAATCACTTCATCTTCCCTGACACACTCAATCTTGTCACTTCACTTCTTACTCCATTGTCCTTTGTGGTACCAACTCGTCATAATTTTAGGTAGTTCTTAAAACAATGAAATATAATTTAAGAGATTATTTATACTTATTCTTTTGAAAATATTCGCAACCTTCCAACAAACTATAATAAAACGTTCTATCGATACTTACGACAAATTCAAATTTAAATTCTTCGAAATTTATGAGGTAAAATCGCACAAAGATAAAATCGCACACCGACTTAACTGCAAAAAATGATCCATTCATGGACAGTAACGCCGTTTACGGTAAAATAAGGGACTCACCACACTTATCGATACGGAGTCGAAAAATCTTTATGTTCATGTAATAAAGCGTGAAACAAACAGAGCGCGGAAGCGGGTTGAGCGCGTGTCGGGTCGGGAGCGCGGCGGGTGTAATTGTATATAGTTATATGGACGACAACACAATGCCGGTTACCCTATCACAAAGTCTATCGTACCTGACCCAAAGGTTACCCTATCACAAAGTCGAAATTTATTTTATCCGAAATAACGTTTGTTCGAATTTTACACCGAAAACCGAATTATAACGAAACAGTTGTTCTTTCAGGATATATTGAATGTTTATAGCAAAGACACGATTATGTTCGGTTAAGTTAGGTTTAAAAGAAAAAACATTTTCCTCTCAAAATTACTTTCGAGGGTACATGGTCTCCATTCAAGAACCTTTCTGCCCCAACAGTCGTCAATTTTAAGAGCTCTGTGTGACCTACCCATTGCCACTTCAACTTGCTAATTCTTTGAGCTAAGTCAGTGACTCGTTCTTCTACGGATCTAATCATTTCTGATTCTATCACGTAGACTAATGCCGAGCATTGCTCGCTCCATTGCTCGTTGAGTAACTTTAAGCTTTTTTATGAGGCCCATAGTAAGTGACCACGTCTCAGAGTCGTAAGTCATCGCTGATGATGATGATCCGGTGCTTAGGAGCTAAAAAAAACAAAAAATAAACTATACTCTTAATTAATGTTCATTTTGCTTACTTTGTAACTATTTAAGTTGTCTCATGCTTATGTAATTGTATGACTACACGTGTCTTCCTATCTTATGCCTATCTTTCTTGCATCTTCTTAGAGGTGTAAGGATGACAGCCTGGTGGTCTGTAACACAGGTTAATCTTAGTATGGACACCAGACTTTCACAAACGAAACAAGGTTCGGGAACATGTGAGGACCGCATAAAGACATTATCATTTTCATTTTTTAACTTGTATTTTGTAAGTTAAATTACTATTTCACAGAAGGTGCGTAATGTAAATATTTATATTTATAAATAACTTAAATCCCTCAATTTATATTCCATTGTTATTGACATCTTGCATGATCTTTAACCCTTCATATATAAGTACGAAAATTATTCGCAAAACACAATTCCTGTTCTATATTACATCGAATCATAATACACGTACAACTTTCTAATATTGGTCCGCTACAAAGTTGTGAAATGGCCTAGCTTACACCTTAACTTATTTTCTATAGCTATTATATGAACTTAAATGTTTCTATGCCTTGCGTGATATGTGTTGCAATACAGACGCGTTAAAGCTAATATTTTCTTCTCGCCCCTTCTACACCTTACTACGAATAGAGTACACTTCACACATTTGTTCCTTTGATTGCTTAGTTACAAAGTCATTGTTCACATCATATTATATTCGTTTGCGTTCGCAGAAGTCACGCTTGTACTACCTTCGAAAGATATGTAGAGACTTATCAGCTATGACAAAATTACGGCTACCATAATTCTATAATTTGTTATTAACAAGTGATATGTTGATGGAGGCATCACTCCTTTTAAAATAGATTATAACATTAGTTCATAAACAATAATTTTACATCACTTACATTAATGGAACTTAATAGCGACTTTACTAGACAAATATTGTTTGGACTTAGCGCAATATAACACTTGAGGTGGCTTAAAACTAAAATTACACAATCTACATTTTTGTTACATACAAAAATAAGTTGATAAGAAAATATTCCAGACATTTTTAGATGACAACGTATTCATTTACATTGTTTTTTTCAATATAAGACACGAAAAGCGTTTCCCGGGTTGCTATTAGATGGCGTTTAGTAAGAGAAGATATTGAAGCTAAATGAACTACAAGAGAGGACAACAGGCCCATTGTCTAAGATTCATATAACATAGTTGAACAGCTTGGTTTGCGAGAAACCGGCGACGGTGGCAAGGCTCAGGCCAAGAAATTTATAAGACAACCATTGCGTAGACGCACTATTGGTGCAGTTCATAGGAGGATCTGGCTTACCTGGAAATAGAAAGCAACTGATCAGGATTCTATATTTACCGAAATCAACAAATTAGGTACTATTTCAAGGCTAGAACGAACAGGCATTTACTAGTCAAACACATAATATCGTCGGACATATTGACGCTTAACTGTTGTTAATGTTGTAATATTAAGTTTAATGTATATCACGATGTTTTTTAACCATGATAGTCAATTATTTTTTGTGAAATTACTAATTATTAACACAAAAATCAAACAATAAGAAAAATTCATTCTATCAAGCTGACATTCATAAAATTCTGTGTGGCACTACGGCACAAAAGTCGTAATATTCGAATGATGTCTTTACCATCTCAATCAGTCGTGACCTTGGGATCTATAAAGGGCAAAAAAGCATGGTTAGCTTTGAAAAAAAATAAATATGCGCGATAGGAACAAAAAAATGGTTGCATATTCAATGTGTAACAATCGAGAAAACCTAAAACAAGAATTTTAGAACTTACTGGTAGCAGCAATCAGTTGAGGCAAATATTTTTGCCAGAACGCGCACTCTTTTGCGCGAACTCCATGTCCCACCTCAGTTGAATTCAATGCTAGAGTGAGGTACTCTCTGCCAGTGGCTGTGTGTTTAGGCCAAAAGATTTCTGTGGTCTCGCCATTAGGGTTGATTGAAGGGTTCCTGGAATGTAAGGAAAAATAATTGTCGAAATGTTTAAAAAGGCTACATAGGGGCACTATAAGTTTCCGGAACTGGCCACTTATATAAACAATATTTAAAAATTAATTACAACATTTGAAAATAGAACTGTTTGGCTGTAGAATACAGTTTGTTTCATCTGACTGTTACTTGTTTTTACATTGTGGCGTCATTTTAGAAATTGTTTGTCTACATCACCATGGATTTAACTCGTGAACATTTTCGTAGTATGATTTTCTACAAATTTAAGTGTAATTTAACAACTCAGCGGAGCTTCGCTCGGCTTCAAGCTGCTTTTGGCGATGAAGCACCATGCAAGACGACTATTTATAGTTGGTTTGCAGAATTTGAACGCGGTCGTGTGAATCTCAGTGAAGAATTTCGTGATGATCGCCGTCCACTGCTGTGAACAACAAAAACATCGATGCTGTGCGTCGTATGATCAAAACAGGCATGCGACATACCATGGGATTCGGGCATCTTTATGCCTAAAGATGGCATGAGTTATATACAACTAATACTACACAAACATTTAGGTGTGAAAAAGCTGTGCTCTCGGTGGATCCCACACAATTTGATTGAGGCTCCAAAAAGGTTCGCGTCACTTGGTACAATGCCATGCTTACCAGATTCAACGACGAGGCGTCAAATTTGGTGTGGGACTTAGTAACAGTTGATGAAACATGGATTTACAGTTACGATCCTAAAACAAAGCAGCAATCGAGCGTATGGGTCTTTCGAGATGAGCCAAAACCAATCAAAGTGGTGCGCGTGGAAAGTGCCTCTAAGTGGATGATTGCTCCTTTTTTTAATAAAACTGGACACGTGGCTACTGTTGCTTTGGAGAATCGTTGGTGATACCGTGGTACCGTAAATAGTAATTGGTGCACGATCATTTGTTTGCCAGATATTATTTACAAACTCCGTAAAAATAACCGTAAACGCCGTATCATCTTGCACCACGATAATGCCAGTTCTCACGCGGCCAGACATACAAATGAATGTTTGAAGGTGAACACCGTTGACCCGTTATGAGCCATCCCGCGTACAATCCCGACCTGGAACCTTGTGACTTTTATTTATTTCCGAAAATTAAGAACCAGTTGCACGGTCAACGATTTTCATCACCTGAAGAGGCTGTCGAAGAGTGTGAAAAATATGTTTCAGAGATTGTCACAGAGGAGTGGCATAAATGTTTTCAAAATTGGTTCATTCGTATCAAAAAGTGCATTAACGCTAACGGAGAATGATTTGAGAAACAATAAATTCATTTTCGACCATTTATAGAATTTTTATTATTTATATTATTTCTTATTCATTCCGGAAACTTATAGTGCACCCCACGTATATTATAAGGCTGGAAGGAAAAAGTAGGACATAATTTAGTGCTCGTGCTGCTAGTCATCGTGCTTATGATAAAGTTTTATTTCGCTAATTATTTTTATATTACAAAAATGGTCATTTTATCAGAAAATGGTTCAGGTTCGATCGTAGTGAAATATATACATATATTACTAACTGGTGACCGCGACTTCATCTGCGTAGAATAAGTACTTGCAGTTGCCTACTGTATTAATCTAATTTTCATGGTTTTATTGGTTTTACATACAAACTTTCATGTGCATATTTCAAAAATAAAATTCTCCTAGGTTCCATCTTTCTCTGTACTATTTATAATATTAGTTTGTATGAAATATAATCAATAACAAGTAAAAATAGTAATATAGAGGACGCATTTTTGATATATCAAATGGAATGTTAATTATATATACAGCAATAGAGCTAGGTGATCCAGTATCATTAATAGGTAAATTCGGTCAATTAATGTAAAAGAAATAGTACATACCCAGTTCTAGCAAAATTTGCCCAGTACCGCATAATCCTCTTGCTAAACTCCACTTCTTCGGGGGAATAATTTTTTCCAGGATTTAATGGTTCGCCGAACACATAATTGACTTCGTCTGCGTGAAGCACGCCCGTCCACGATGGCCACGGACTGTTCTTGCTTCGATGTTTGTAAAAATACGTGAACACATCGTTCCCAGTCTCAGCATACCGATGTGCAAACTCGTTCACGCTACAAGTAAAATGATAATCACCAACCATTTTGTCAAGAGCATTGCGGTTCCGCACCGGATCGTCAGGGTTCAACCAATCTGTGTATTCAAATACAATAGCCTGACGAGCTATATCATTAACATAAGGATTTAACTCTCTAACAGCTTGAATATATTGTTCTCTGGTTATTCCTACGTTTTCTTCTTTAGGGAATAGTTCAGTGAGATAGTAAAGGATAAAGTAATATCCTTCTTCTGTATTTGAACCCATTAACAAGTTGGTCTTTTTAAAATTTTGATGCGCTAAGGATCTTGACGGCATTTCATCTAAGAACGATCCATCGATTATCGGTACAAACGGGAATTCGCAAATACCCAACGTCCCCCATTCATTGTTAACTAGCTCGTCTGCTGACTTCTTACGCAAGCATTCTATCATAGGGCCCATATCGGTTCTAGAACTAGGGCAGTGGACAGCTTCAGCTAATCGAATTCCTCGTAATACACTTTCTTCTCTCGATATTACAGCCCAAGGGGCTGTTGCAGCTCCAGACTCCATAATAGCTTGAGAAAATAAGTTTCTGGACAATGGTGATAGTAAATGTAAAGATACGGATACTGCACCAGCAGATTCTCCAAACAAGGTTACATTATGCGGATTTCCACCAAAGAAAGCAATATTATCTTTCACCCACTGCATCGCCATGAGTTGATCAAACATTCCAGCGTTCCCTGGAACGTCCGGAGTATCAAAAAACAGGTACCCAAGAGATGCCACTCGGTATTGCATGGACACATAAACTATGTTTTCTTCAGAAACCAGTATTTTTGGATCATAAATGTCTAAAGTGACGGTTCCCGAGTAAAATCCTCCTCCATACACCCATAGCATGACAGCTGCATTTTTAGGTCGTGGTTTTGGAACAACAATGTTTATGTAAAGGCAGTCTTCCTGCATGTCTGTATTGGGATTCCACATTACAGCGCCAGGGAAATCTCCGAATACCGTATCTATAATTTGGACGCACGAATGTGGCAGTGTCGTTGTATTTAATATTTCATCGCCCCAACTCTCAACGGGCCTGGGGTGTCTGAATCTTAGGTCACCGATTGGTTTTTGGGCATAGGGTATACCAAACCACGCATCAACTTTCTTCCCCGTCGCTGATGTAAGGGTGATGCCTCTAACTCTCCCTTTTCTGGTCCGAATGACTAGGGGGTCATTTTCTTCTGGGCCTAGATAGGGCTGATCAGCCATGAGGACTTCCTCAGGGGCTCGTTCATGGTTGGAGTAATACCTCTCGTCGTACTTGGCTCTCTTGGAGGAGGTTTCGTCTTCAATCTTGGCGCGTTTGGAAGAGGTTTCATGTTCCTCAATGCGGGGGAGGATAGTATCGAGCTCTGGGTTGTATCGGACGGCCTCTCCGTGGCCGCGGTAGGGTTGAGGCGGCGCTGGCGCAGGGAAGTGGAGGGGATGCTCGGGTGCGTGGTGCCGGGCTCGGTGCTCATGTGGGCCAGCCTGCGCGTGCGCGACCAGCGCCGTCAGCGCTGCCAACAACACGTGCATACCGCCACTACACCCTCTCCCACAATCACCACCTGGAATGAATTAACAATCACATTAGAAAATGCCATGAATCATGTTATATTATATTTATGTCTGTGCTGTGCTGCCTAATTGACAACACTTTGTTCAATAAGCGGGGTCTAAGAGTACTCGAACTGAGACTTCGTAATGGGAGACATGCGGCCAGACAATCGGAAATGTAAAATGACAACCTGTTGATATTAAGATAAACTAGATGGAAATCATTAAAGATGACCTGTAGTAAACAATAAGATAATTTTTTTTTAGAGATAATTTTTTTTAACTTTCGCATATCAAAAGAATCGATACATACATCCCATATGGTTATTAACTATTACAGTTTTAGCTTGTGCTAAAAATAACTATATGTATCTAAATACTCATGAGCACATAAATACCACGACACCTTATATGAAATTCTAACTCATAAGTTGCCATGTAACAAAATATTGTTATTGATACAAAGAATGAATAATATTTAAAAAATCCTTTCGATCCGACTGTACTTGAACCAGTGTATGTTGCCTCACCGTGGCTACCGCTCTTACCAACTAGTTACAGATCCAGTTAACAGTTCTGTGCCTGCTACAGAATTTTGTAATGGGTTTAAACGGCTTTTTTGCCGTAACGCCATAATTATTTAAATTTAATTTATTTAATGGTCTTTGTATTAATAATTTTAACAAACTAAGTAAGTGGAGTAATTTTACAAATATAAATTAATATCACGGTAGTAAAATATTATAATATTAATTATAATCAATATTACACTTTAAAAGCGACTTCTGTCAACCTCTGGTAGCTGCAAATGTAGTAGGTTGAGTGAAGGAAAACTTCATAGATTTCTCGCAGGTGGTGCTATGGAAAAAAACCTGAAACCAACTCATAGAAAAATTCGTAAGAATTCTGCTGGTTATCTGTAGCTCAGTTGGTAGAGCGATTGCCCTATATTGGCAAAAACAGGTTGGAGTCGTATCAGATCTAAAGAATTATTTTTCTTTGTATTCGATCGTTGCATTAATATAACAAATTTTATTAATCCTTCAACCAAATACAATAATCATCAAAATATTAAACAAAAAAGGTTTTCAAATTTTAATAGGCAAGAAAATTCTTTCAATATCAGAATATTGTCTACCTCCTACAGTTGACAAATTACCCACAAAACCCATTTATTTATTCTTCAGAGCAACTCGGTGATTTATCATCGTTCATACAATAGGTAGTACAATGGTGTTTCTTAAAGAATGCGATAATTTATATCTTCTAAAAATTGGTACAAAATACGACAATGTATTTAACTTTTGTGCAATTATTGTTGTCATTATTCGTAAACTCCTTACATACTAAAATGCTTCTCCATTTTGTTCAGCCGAGTGTCAATCACCAATATAGCTTGGTTACTTGAATTTGTCGGTAACGCAATTGTGAATATATAGTAATAATACCCCTCGATAACGGTGAAAGAAGGTCGCGTTGAAACCTACTTATTTAAGAAGGTTCAGAACTCTTGTCGCCGCCTTTATTCAATAACGCAGCATTGCAAGGTACTATGATTTTGAATTAAGCATACAGTAACGACCAGAGCAAGCAAAATTTTATCGTGAATAAAGCTCCAATCTTTTTATTTCAAAAAGTTTTATACGTAAAAAGATGGATGCTTTATTCACGCTTTATTTGTACTTGCTCTGGGCGCATGATGTTTTAATGATGAACCATTAAATCATCATGCAAGGTATTAGCTTTACCTCAATTAGAGTTGACCCGTGTATAGTCGTAGAACGGATAAAGGCTCATGTAAAACGTTTTTGATTTCAAAGTCAAAGTCAAATAATTTTTATTTCGTAGATAAGCAAATTACACTAAAAATCGTCATATTGATTAAACTCTACTGCTCATTCGTAAGGCAGACTCCCTTGAGACGAATGAGCAAGAAACTCGAGAGATTGCTCTTTGTAAATAAACATTTGTTTATACACATTTATCGTCTACATTATTTATTTTAAACGTCATAGGTCCCTAACCTGTAAGAGCTAAACGGGTCACTGGCACGGATTTTTATCATCCAAGTACGCAGAAGCTGTGTATAGTCTTCTAAAGGTTTTAGTGGAAAGCTTTTGTTTCACTATAGTTCTAACAAGTACAAACTTATTGTATAGCATTGCAATCCATTGGACGCTGTTTATATAACGGAATGGAAGCGAATTTTTGTAACTATATTGTACATTGCGTAATGAACTTTACGGTTAATTGTGTAACGTACAAACTATCTAGTTTCTATCTATCTATATCGTATCTAGTTTGTACGTTACAGATTTGACCATAAAATTCATTATTTATGTCGTTACGAAAATTCGCTTTCCTTTCGTTCCGCCGCAATGTAAATTGAGCCTTAAGGTGTTTCTTTCTTTTTCTTTCCTTAGCTGGCACCGACTTCAAAAATAAGTAATAACATAGTGTACATATTTAAGTATCAATATTTTTAGCGGCAAAATAAAACTTCAAACCGATCAGTACCAATAATAATATTTTATTAAAATTATAGGTAAATTGGTTTGGACAAGAATTGTCACATTGTAATTGTATAAATAAACCATAAATATATATAGCTTGATTAATAAGTAATTATAATACTGTGTACAGTCAAGAGCACGTCAAGCTTGACACTTTGTAGTTTGGACCGTTCTTATCGTAAGTGGCATAGAGTTGTATTTAATTCTTAAGTGTGAAACTTGACGTGCTTTTGACCCTGTACAAAACAAATTTAGACAAAAAGTAATTTAAAGTATTACGTGCATTGTTGTCGTTTGGATTAAGTCTGTATTTTGATATTTTTCGCTTTTTAGTGTAATGAGTTTTTGTGGTTTTTGAAGTTAGTTGTATTTTTTTAAAGTTTGTTTATTTTTTATTCTTAAAATAAATTAAATTAAAATAAATTACTTAACCGACCACATGATGAAAAAGGATTACGAGAAATGGAAAAATTAAGACCTATGTCTTAATAGCCGACCATATGACAAACAGGCATTACGAAATTGTCTTAAACTTTCCCTTCCAGTGTTTGAGTCTGAGAGTCGTCACTTCATGCTACTTAGTTGATTTTCATTCAAATAGGCCCATCACAAGCTTTTTCGACAATTAAATGTCTGCTCGTCCCTTTATATCATTCCGAGAAATTGAAAGATGCACGGCCACGTCTTTTTGAGAACCTTTGATTAGTGACAGTTCAACAAACACGCTGTATGTAAATGATTCCAAGCTTTTAAAACTTGTGGAGATCTCTCGATTTCCATGGGATTTCAGATTCTAACTTCTTGGTGATATGGATACTGTTACGGACTCCTTTGTATATGTATCCCTTATACTTTTTTTTCTGGTTGTGATGGTGATTTGTTAATTATACATATTGTATACAGTGAAAAGTCGATATTTATTTGAGGAAAATATTTTTTAAATCTGTGATAACCGAAAAGAACCCGGAACAGCATTGTCGGCATCAGGGACCACCTCGAGAATACTCTCGGTAAAAGGGTGAAAGGGTATACACCCTTTCAAACCAGAAAATAATTTTCAAAATCGATTCAAAATTGACGGAGAAATCGGAAAACATACGGTTCGGCTGTATGTATGTTTTATACATAACGTATAACACCTCCCGGTTTTAAGTCGGTTGCGCTGTCGAAATACAAAACTAGTACTCCGAAATTAGAAATGTTTAGAGAAAGCCCGCTCTACAGATATATATTAATTTATAATAAAAAACCAGACTCCCTTAAGAAAGAAGAAAATGAAAACACTTTCAAAACCAAATTGAAGTGTCTTCTGATAAATAGTTGCTACTACAGTGTGAGAGACTTCATGGACTCTCCTATAAGATGATGTGATAGAAGTGATGAACGCTTCAACTCTTCCATAACGTAATGTGTCTATTTTAAGAACCTTTAGTCTATGTTCTATTTTTGTTAATTATTCGAGAGTACTATTAATTTGCTACACCCCAGCGGGGTATGTTTGCCTGTGTAATGACTACTGACATTGTTTGCAATAAATAAATAAATATAAAAACGAACAAATAAATACAATAAACAAGTACGAAACAATTCAGGCTCTACAATGTAGTTTCACATAAACTTGTATCGAAAATTAAAGCAACAAATCGTCCCTGCCGTAAATTCCTTGCCATCCTGCAAACGTACGTTCACAACGGCGCTAAGATCTAATTTTGAATGTGCGATTATCATATATACACAGGAAGCCACCTTGATTACAGGATGAGGTAACAATTTTAAATGACAGGATAAAGCTAGTAGACTATCTAAGATGACGAATAGCGTCTCTCGTAAGGAAATACAATCATTCATTCTGGCAGAATGTCAGAGTCATGGACAACCATTTATGCTGAGACATCGACTTTTCACTCACTGTCATGGCTTCAAAAACAACCCAGTTTATTTAAAATAAAAATAAAATAATAAAATAAAAAGGATACCAAGTGCCGGGACAAACAAGTATAACAAGTTTAACTGCCTCCGTGGCGGAACGGTTACCATGCTGGACTACCACGCAAAGGTCTCGGGTTCGATTCCCGGGCTGGGAGAAATATTTGTATAGCCTACATTTATTTCTCTCGTGAGTTTGGGTGTAATTTGTAGTGGTCTTGTCTTATATTACCCTAGGGCGGGGCTATCTGTGTGCGTTCTTATTATTAACTCGTGCGCCTGATGGTAAGAGACAATCCTGTCCTTAACAGTTGCAGTGCCACTCAGTTTTAAAACAAAGATCTGAGGGGTACCGCCACTGCGCGCGTCACCTGAGATATAAGTTAATAAGTCTGACGTGCCTGTAATGAAATTACACCTACTCTTCAAAACCGGAACGCAGTACTACTCACATTACTGGTTGGCGGCAGAAATGGGTAAGGTGGCAGACGTCTCTGAGCAAACTCTTTCACAAAAAGCTCTACTGCATACGTACGTATGCCTATATGTACTCAATTAATTAGTTTTGGTAT